GGAAATACAAAAAGTATTTTCCACTAAACTAGACAGGAATTTATAATCTTAACTTATCATCCAAAGGTACTTTATATTGTTGAACTTTTATAATATAGTTATCTGTTTAATTTCAATGTTTTAAGCTTTAAGATTTTTTACTTATTTAATAATTTGTAAAAAAACTTTATCTTTTTTCAAATGAATCTCTCAAGTTTCAAAAGATATATTTTTAAAAAGTGATTAAAATTAACTTATCAAAACAATTTAGACTTAAAGTATTTCCATAATTATTTCATGTGCTTTTATTACTCATTTACATATTAATAATAATAAATACAATAGTTAATTATAATTTATTTACTAATATTTACAATAGTAAGAATGCATTTTTGACCAACTTTGATCCTGTTAAATTCTGTAAGGTGTGTAGAATTTAAAATAACATGATAATTAATGAAGAAATTAATAGGATAATTTAAAACATAAAATATTAAATGTATTATTGTATTAAATTTTATCTATTTCATCATTATTATATCATTCTTATGGTGTTCTGATTTAAATTTCTTTCGATTTATCATCCCATGTGATCAAATATTTTCCATCTTCTGTTATACATCCATAAATTCTTTTAGTACCAAAATCTATACTTTAATCTAATGTGAACGATCCATCGGATAATCTTTTCAAAATGTTAACATGATGACCATTTTTATTTAGCAAAATAGTTTTGAATTTAACTAGTTGCATAGGGAAAAGACTATTACAATCAGCACCTTTTGCAATTTTTTATATTTAATTTATCTAAATAAATGATTTAGTTTATGAATTCATTTCAAATACAAGCATAACATCTTAATTTCTTAATTAAAAAACAAATGTATCATCTGTTATAAAGTGTAATCTTAAGCCTCTTACTTTTACTTATATCTGCTACATAAGAACCCATTAATTACTTGGTTATTTCTCGAATATCTATATTATCTCTGTCTAACCACCAGAAATTAACTTATTAGATGATTCATTCAAACTTAAACCAAGTACATGACCTGAGAGATCAGATATTGTTTATTAACACTACCAATCATTTTATTTAATCCAAAATTTAATTTTTTTATCAAAACCCCCACTTACTATCAGATCTTCTACATTAGTTGATGTTAAACACAAAACATAATCTGTATGTCCTTATAACTTTTAAGAGCACACCCATTCTTTTTTTTTAAATGACCAAATAATGATCAATTTATCATAGCCACCAGATATAAATTAATTTGTTTCTTCCTAAAATATAAACATCCTACATCATTCTAATGTCCTATTAACTGCTAAGTTTCTTTCATTTTTCCATTATTAAATTAAAAAACTTTAATTTAAGATTTACTGCCTGCCATTAGTGTAGAATTATTATCACTAATAGCAATCGCATAACAGCCTTCTTTCTACTTAATATTATATTCTTGTAAAACTTTATAATCAAGTTTTTTAATAGGATGATCTACTTATTCTTTTTATATATCTGAAAATTTTTATTATTATTCTTATATTTTTATATCGAAAAATTTATTTTAATCACTAAAAAATGGTTTTTATATTTATTATTAAATATCTTCTTATTTTTATCTTTAATTAAATTATAAATTACTTCCAAATAACTTTATTATTTCTTAATTAAAAATTGATTTTTAAGAGTTAATTGTTTGCACAAATTCATTATAATTTTAAACTACATCCCTATTTGACTATTCTACTTCCTATTAAAGACTAAGAATATCTGCTATTTAAAGTGCTTCTTGTTTATCAATTTTCGACCAATTTATTTTTTTATTTAATTTTAAACTTTTTCCTTAATTTAAATATCTATTTGTACAATCATTAGCTGAATTCAAAAATTAATTGATACTTTTAATTAGATTATTTTTTAAGAAATCAGTATCAACTTTAATTTAACTCTACTTTACTTCCATTTGTTAATTTAATTATTCGATTAATTAATATCGTTTTTCTTGATGATCATACCATAATTGTTAAAACCTATCCAAAGTTATGTAAAATGTTGGAAATTCTTCAATACAATTTTAGCAAACTAATCGTTCCGGTGGTGTTTTTTTCCAATTTAAATCAACCATTATAATTTACAATCCTTTATGTTTCCTACATTATAATTTGAAATTTTCACATATTTAAGTTGGTTCCTTTATTATATTTTTATAAGATTCTTTAATTTCATTAATATAATTCTGTAATTCTATAATTATTTAACTCAAATTGCTTTTGATTTTTTAGATTAACTAATTAGGAATATTTTAAAAAGATAAACTTTTTTCAAGAATTTTATCCTTAAATTATTATTATTATAGGTCTTAGATCTCTTTAAAAAACTAATATATATCATTCTTAGAGATATTTTAAATATTATTTAAAAATTTTATTTATGAATCCTCAATTAACTTTTATTATTAATTAAAGCATTCTGTATACCTTTTGATAAATTCAGAAAACTAAAGAGCTAATTTATCAAGTATTATTTTTGAATTTTTTAAAATATTCATTTTCTTTTAAATGCTACTTTGAAAGTCTTCCAAAATTTTTGATTAAATGTTGCCCAATTGATGTAAAGAATCATCAGTTGCCTTTAAATTATACCTCATCTCATCAATGCATTAAGAGCAAAGTTGTTCATAATTCGAATTAGGTGATTATCTATAGTTAAAGATAACTTTTTGTTTATGCCTATCGCAAATATTTTTCTAGCTCTCCATTAATTTGATTTAAAAATAAATCTTAAATATTCTTAATAGGAATTAATATTTCAGCTCAACATATACTCTATTTAAAAGATCTGGAAATTTATAGCCAATAATTGTAAAGAAAAATAATTTTCTTAAATATACATTATTAAACTCTTTATTTATTTTTTCAAAAACTTTGATTATTCTTAAAAAATGTAGATTTTATTAATGTTGAAAACTTATATTATACAACTCACTTATTTTGAAAAAACATACACAGAACATTAAAATTTACACTATTTTCTGTTTAATGAAGAATATTTAAAAATTTGATTGAAAATATTTTTATAGCTTAATTATTTCTTTTAATAAAAATATTCTGAATTAAAATATGATATCAGATCAACATATAATATTTTGTTATGGTGTTTGTTAATCCAAATTTAATCATAAAATTTTAAATTATTTTATAAGTTAAATCCGATTATATATGTTTTAATTTTTTTGTAATAATAATAATCTATTCAAAAAAAAAATAACAAGTATCCTAATCTTTTTTTCTTTTTCAAATTAACAACGATATCAATATAGAAATAAAAGTGAATTCAAAATCATAAGTGTAGCGTATTAACTAAATTAAAAATAATTATTTCCTAATCTTAATATGTAATTCAATAAAATTTAATAACAAGTTCATAATATTTGTTGTCATAAAAATTTTTTGTTTTGGTGATTCCATGTGTCGTTCATATTTTGACAAATAATAAATAATATTTGAAAAGAGCCAAATAAAATCTTTAATTATATTTTAAAGATTTATTTTACTTAAATTAACCACCAAATGTTTTCTAATAAATAATATTATAAAAAGTTTGTTTTCATAGATTATTTCATTAGAACTTAATATTTGAATTTTTAATATTTTAAATAAATAAAAATTGTATTAATTGATTTTATGTAGCCTTATCATTTTTTCTTTTGTGACCTTAAAGTAGCATTAAAGAAATAAATATTGATTATTATTGCATATTTAACATAAAATTCTTGTGACCTTGAAAGGCGTTTTGGTCTTATGTAATCTTCACTTTTCTTATGAGTCAAATACATTTTTATAAATATGAATTTTAAATAAAATAAAACATTTTTATTAACTCAAAATTTTTATTGTTGCTTTTATAAAATTGTCTGTTTGCAAAAATAAATATTTTATTAAAATTAATATAAATTTCAACTCTTATTTTGTATAACCTTATCACCATAAAGTGATTTTTTGCAAAAGAAATACTCAATTTATTCTTAAATACAGATATATAAGTATTATTAATACAAATTGAAGTTCATATGAATAAAAATCTTTCTTGCAAAATTCATGACCTTTTTTAATTTTAAATTACAGGCAATATTAATGATTGAGTAAATTAATCTATTAGAAGAAAATCATTTCTCCGCTAAATAAATAAAATCACAGTTAACATAAGTCATAAGTATCTTAAATAATATAAACAGATCAAAATTAACTCATATTGAATTCAATTTAAATAATTGATTTAATAAAGAATATCGACAAAACATCTGAGACTAAATTTTTTTCAAAAAACAAAATCATAAATCAGAAAAATAAAATTAATTGATTAAAAGTTTTCAAAAGATAAATTAACTGGTATTAACTTCCTGTAATTTTATTGTTATTTATTAGTTTTCTTTCATTATTTAATTCTAAATCATAGTGGTTATAGTTCAAAAATTTTTTCTTCGATAATTATTAGATCTTATAATTATCTTGTTATAAAACTATTTATACATTTAAGAATAATAATATTAAGAATATATAATAACAATAATCTCGCAGAAATATCAATTAAACTAAAACATGGATATTATCTTGGAATTGTAGTTTTGGATTGGTGAAATAAACTGATAACTAATGGGTAGTATTTTTAATTTTAACTGAAAATCTAGTACATGAAGATTTGAAGAAGATTATTTCGTTTGATTTACATAAATTAGTAAAGTAAGTATAATTAAATTGACAAATAATTTAATTTTTACACTTGAACACTCTTAATGAAAGTGTTATTTTTACAGCTTATTAATATTTTTTTAAGTCAAATACTTAAGTCTTTTATTTAAAAACTGTATAGATTAAAAATAATATTAAAATTAATAAAGAGAAATTAAATAAGTGAGGAAATAATTCAAGAAATTGAAAGAAATATACCTCTGTTAATTAAAAGAATTGGAATGATTAAAAATACAAATAGTTTGATTCCAATTCAACTAATTAAACAGAATAGGTTAGATAGATTAATAATAAAATAAAAAAAAGAAAAAATGAATATTAAGACACAAAGGATTCAAATAGTATTGGCTTTTTTTCTAAATTATTAATTCAATATAATATTATTAAATTGTAAGATATATTCACATTTTTGTTTTTCTTCTTATCCCTGAATCTTTTTACAGTTCTTAGTCAAATATGATTGAAGGTTGCCCTAACCATCATACGGTAGGATCCTCACTAGACAAAAAAAGTTGATCCTTGCTAATTAGATAGGCAATGAGCAGACTAAAACATTTTCGATGAAGTAAAACAGCTCTCTTTTATTTGCCAAACTTACAGTAATGCTAGTGGTATTCAAATCGTAAATCAGACATGTAAGTTTAAATTAATTTTTATTATATTTTTCTTAGCTATTATTTAGTTCATCTTCTTTATTCTTTTAACTTTCAAAAATGATATGTCTTAAAAATATTTTTTTTGGTCAATTGGGCAAGATTAATTTTGCTAAAAACCAAAACTCTTTATCAATAATAATTTATAAATTAAATAATATGGATGTATTAGCTCTATTTTAAATAATTTAATTATTTTCTTTTGCAATTTAAGAATTTGAAATGGAGTTTATATTAAATATGTTAGAGTATGGTTCCAAATTGAGAATGGACAAACTGGCCAAAATTTTAATAAATTTGAAATAATAATTAATTTATAAATTTAACTTCTTATTCCATGAGAGCTCGCCTGATTGTCCTTCCCCTAATTAAAATGAAGAAGTAAATAAATAATATGATTAATTTTAATAATTATATAAAGATAC